ATAAAAAATAAACCAAAATTATATTTACAAAGAATAATAAAGACATAGTTTTAATTATAAAATAGAAACACCTTTAGAAGAAAGAAAACGAATAACTTGTTGAGAGACTGAAGTACCAGTAAGAACAATATTTAATAATTTTGTACATTTATTAAGTAACATTTGAATACCAGAGTCAGTAACATTAACACACATACGTAATTCTACAGTAGTTAATAAAGGACAAAAATCAGAAATATTTGATAATAAAGCATCACTACATTGAGAGAAATTAAGTCTCATTACATTCATCCATTGGGCTTCTTGAGAAAATAATTGAGGAGCACTATAAGTAATGCCTTGCATAGAAAAACTAGTAATTCTAGGTAAAGCATTAATAATGAATTGAATTTGATTTGGAGTGAAAGGAGTAAAAGAGATATCAAGATATTGTAAAGAACGGATTCCAGAGAGAATAACACCAGATTCAGGAGTAATATTTTCACAACCACTAATATCAAAATGAGATAAATTTAAACATGAATCTCTTACAGCTAATATTACTCTATTAGTTACTGCTGTTGTACCACTTAAAAATAATACTCTAAGACGAGGGGATCGATAAATAAATTGAATTAAAGCAGTTTCAGTTAGAGTAGTATTATTTGTACAATAAAAATGAGTTAAAGAATGTGCATTATCACCTAATACAGTTAAAGCAATAGCAGTTAAAGCAAAACATGAATTAAGATTTATGCTAATTAAATCACATCCTCTAACACTAAAGAAATTAATTAATGTTTGTTCATTCATTTTACATTGTTTAAAAGATAAAGTAAGAGGTGAAAATTTTCCACCTTTTCTAACAACAGACCTTCTAGTAACATTTGCTGCAACACAACTTGATTGAAGGAAAGACTGAATAGAAGGTTCATCAACGGTTAATCCATCTAATATTAATGTTCTTAAATTTGGAGTATTTTGTAAAATATTTGTTAAGAAATAAGTAGAAATACGAGTACAACCAGAAATGTTTAAATAAATAAGATCAGCTAACCAAGAAAATAAAGAAGAGGCATATAATTGATTATAAGACCTCATAAGATGTTCACCAGAAACACCAAAACAATTAGATAAATTCAAATTAGTTAATTTGAATTTAGAATGAAATAATTGAGATAAAGTAAGTATTCCAGCATTAACACAATTTGTTAAATTTAAATAATTTAATTCAGGAATTTTTTGTAAGAATGATTGAATTGATTTATCAGTTAATCTTTGTGAAGATATAGATACAGAAGATAAATGTGAATTTCTTTTTGAAAGAATAGAGAGACAATCATCAGTAAGATTTTTACAATTTAATAATTCTAATTCAATTAAGTCATGAAGATATTGTAATCCTTTACTTGTTAAGAGTGTATTATTTGCTTTAAAAATACGTAATGTATTTACATTTGAAATATTTTGTATTCCATAATCGGTAATTCTTGGACAATTAGAAACATTAAGTGTTTCTAATGGTGGTGTTGATTGTAATATCGCTAATAAACAAAAATCATCAAATGGAAGACATCCTGATGCATTTAAATGTTTTAAATATGGAAAATTTTTACACATAATTCCTAATTCATCTGATGAACAACCTCTGGCAAAGGAAATGTCTAATGTAGTAATATGTAATGATAATGATAATTGAAATACATTAAGACAAGTACTTCGTGTTAATAAATGTGTGTTATGAATATCTAATGTTATTGTATTTACACCTGATGCAAGTAATCTATACATAATAATATTTAAATCTATATCTGTTGCATTTGGATTATTTGAAACTACTTGAAGTAATTTTGTAGCAAGTAATGGTGGTAAAGGCAATGGTTCTTGTGATTGTGATAATGATGAAAAGTTTTCATCAAAACGACTAAATGCATCTAAAATAATTTCTGTTAATGAAGGAATAATTGCCCCTTCACGACTAAGTAATGAAAATGGATGTGATGGAATATTTAATGAAACAGCTTTTCTTCTTCTTTGATGAGTTAATTGAAATGATTGCATCTTCTTATTTCAAAAATGATATTAACAGTTAAAAAAAACAATTTGGAAAAAGTGAAGTACTTGGAAGTTTCTTATTGAGATAACTATATAATAATATTTTTATCAACTCATTGTTAATTCTTCTTTTGATTGTTTAAAGTTCATATTTTGTACTTTTCTTATTCATAATTTTTGTTATTGTATTCTGTGTCTTATTTTTTTAAAATATCTTAAACTTTAATCATGAATATTATAGGAATAAAATTAATGAAAGGTAAAGTTGAATGAAAATAGGAAAAGGAAGAAAGACTTGAAATTTCTGTTTAATATTTTGATTTATGAAAAGAAAGTATTATTGGAATAGAAATAACATTATTTATCATTAATTTTTGTTTTTTATTTTCTTTGTTCTTTACTTTTCTTCAAATTACTTCATTTTCATTATCTATCACAACGATGAAAGAACAGATAACAACCAAAAAGAAATATTACAAAAGGTAATTAAGATAAGATTGGATTTATTTTGTAGAGAAATGAGAAGAACAAATCATTAATGATGAGAAATAATCTTCTCAATTATCTAGAGTCAACAGTTGTTCTATATAATGTTTTGTTTTAAGATAAACAATCATATTTTTGAAGCAACCATCTTATTGAATGGTATTTTATAATAAAAAAATTATAAACCATAGCATTTTTGCAAGAATGACAAAACCAAAAGAACAATAAGAAAAGAAACAATAAAAGAACTAAATACTAAAGGTTAAAAAACAAAAAGAAAAGAAAGAAAATTCTGAAGAAGAAAAGTTCTAAGAAGAAAGGAACTGCATAATCAAACAAATGATCAAAGCATTGTTTATTGTAAATTGTTCAAATGATATTATCTACCAAAAAAATTATGGAAAAACAATTGATAAAGGTGTTCTTGTTCCATTTTATGATAAATGTTTGTTTTAATATTTAATTATTTTTTATTTAATCAAATTCAGGTAAAAATTAATATCATTAATTGATATAACATAAAATAAAAAAATACGTTACAATTATAACTATATGTAATAAAAATATATATATCTATATAAAACAAAAAAAAAGATTTAATGTTAATATTAAATATTCACTTTTTGTAGTAACTACTATTCCAATTTATAATAACATACCACCAGTAATCAATTGTAACACTTATTGTTTATTCCATTTTTGTCATGAAGTTTGTTTTTTTTTTATTATTCTTAAATTAAATAATAAGAAGTCTTATTATTAGTTACCATCTAATTCAGTCTATTTTATTGCCGTCACTGATATAGATGTTCCACCATTATTTATTTCATCATTCCTTCAACGAATTCGTATTATATTAAAATATTGTTATCCAGATGGATCATTTAATGATAATACATTAAAACAAGACTATATCCGTCTCATACAAATTATGGACCAACTTGCTGATGGAGGATTTCCATTTATTACAGAACCAAATACTATTGATGCTCTTCTTAATGAAAATACAACATCTCAAAAAATAGAAAAAGCAGTTTTAGGAGAGTTATCAGTAAATTATGATAAAGATGCATTAGGTTCAAGAACTCTTCCATGGAGAAAAGATGGAGTTATTCATAAAACAAATGAAATTTTATTTGATGTTAATGAACGTATTTCTACAGTTTTTAATCTTGTAACAGGAAAAGCATCAAGAACAGAAGTATTAGGAGAAGTAATTTGTATTTCTTCATTGAGTGGAATTCCAGATGTTACATTAAGATTTGACAATCCACAAATTATGGATGATGTTTCATTCCATCCATGCGTTAGAATTGGAAAATGGGAACAACAAAAAGTTCTTTCCTTTATTCCACCTGATGGAAAATTTACTTTATTTAATTATCGTGTAAGAGGTACTCTTCAAGCTCCAATTAAATTAGGTGGGTCTGTTAAATATACTTCTTCACAAGGATTAGTTGAATTAAGTGTTTATGGAAATAATATTGCAGGATTTGGAAATGGACCATTAAAAAGTGAATTAATTAATCAACAAGTTGTCATAGAATTCCCAGTTTCTGTTACATCATGTCAATTAGTTGTTAATACTGGAAAATATATTTTTGATGGAATAAAACATGTTTGTTTTATTTTTAATTCTTTTCATTAATTCTTTGTTAATACATCTAATGATAATAATGAAACATTAAATAATAAAATAGGTTTTAATATGGAACATTGGAAAACATGATCCAAAAATCATCCCAACTATTAGTGGTACTGTTAACCGTTCAATGTATGAAGACACTGATACATTCACTAAAGTTTCAATGAATTTCCAAATTATTAATTATGCTGCTTCTGGATTAAGATTTAAACATCTTGATTGTAATCAACCATATCAATTGAGAAAAGGAGTTAAATTTACTACTTATGGAGGAAGATATCTCATTAAAGTTTAATCATGAATTGAATCGTTTTCAATTGATTTGTTTTTTAATAACTTCAATACTAAAATTTTGTTATTCATATTTTATTGTTAATAAACCCATAATTTCTTCAACAAAAACAATTAAAAGTCTTGAATTAAGTTCATTTCTTAAATAATGGAAAGGTGATGTCTTAAATTAGAGTCTCTGAATTAACTGTAGAGAAAATTTGTTCTTCTAACACTGATTTCCTTTTTTTCTTTCTTTGAATGATATGATAATTATTCTAAAACAAAAAGTCAGTAATAGAAGAAACACAAATCAATAGGAAAATTGTTAAATTTTATGACAATTGATGACTCTATTAACCAGTTATTTATTGAAATGAATGGCATTAATTCAATCATTGTTTGTTATTTTTTTTTAATATATGAATAAATAATTAATTCTATTAAAGGATGTTATTATTGATGTTGTCTTAAATGAAGTTCTTGAAATTAAGACAAAACAAGATGGTTTGTTTGCATTACTTACTAACCCATCTCTTTCTTTAGCAAGTTTGATTCATAGACATTATTCAATAGCCGAAGATGACTTTCAAGAAATATCCACATTCATTGAGTCAACCAAGAAAGATTTTTCATTATTATGCCATTGTCCAGAAACATTCTTCGACAGTTTTATCAAATTTCTTCCACACAACATGAAACATAGATTACTTCAATTTTCTTCAACTTCGTTGTTACCGTCAATAAAAACTAAAAAGATTCAAGAAAGATATAAATTTGATTATCTTGCTCAACAAGTTAAAGAAATCCAACATGATTGGAGAGAAGAAGTAACACAAAAACATCTAAATCCAATACAACTAAGTAAGTTCAATCATTTAGCAACAGTCATTTCAGTAGTAGACATTGAAAACCTTCAGAAATGGGTTGGTAAAAGTGAGTGTGAGTTAATTTATTCGGTTCATCAATTAGGTACTACTGCAAATTTCAATGACAAAATCAGTGGAAAACAAAACATTACATTTCTTTTTAGTGTTTCAAATGGGTTTGTTTTTGGATGTCACTTTGGTCAAATTCCAAAAACAGGTCAACATCTTGTCCATGCTAAAAATGACCCAAATCATTTCATTTGTACTCTTGGTGGATGTCGTGGAATAAAACCAAGAAGATTTCAAAGAACCACTAATACAAGTGCATTATGGCTGATGTCTAACTTTGAGACTGAGAAATTTGTTGATATAGACGCTGCTTTTTATATTAAACATTATGGAAAATCTTTTGTATATCAAAATATTGATGAGTTTTATACTATCAAATCCTTAGACATTGATACGTTCACAGGTAATCATTATCCTGCAACCTTTAGAGTAAAATATCTTTTTGTGTTGCAATGGAAATAGAGGAAAAGAATTTTAATTCTTCTTTCAAGAAGTTCTTTTAGCTAAACATCTATTACTTTATTTAGTTGTGAAGATAGAGTGTAATATTCTCTAGGTATTTAAATTGAATTAGTTTGTATAACTTATGGTTCTTGTTAATACATATAATTATTTAATTTGAGTTGAAATTAGTTAATGAGCAATAATTCTAATGATGTAATACTAAAAAGAGTATTTAAAGTATAAAGTCGACATATAATTTCAATAAGTCATAACAACTCATACAAATTCATTAATTTTTGATATACAATAATGTATGATAACATAATAACTTAGAATTTTATATTCTTATATAAATACTTCATTATTACTTATTCCTACAAAATAGCTAATTACTAGTTCAATTAGTTTTAACATATATGCTCATTGAAATGAAATACCAAAACAATATATCATAGGTGTTTTCTTTTTACGTCCCTTTGTTGTGTCTGATTATTCTTTCAATTTGTAGAGTCTAACATGTATAAAGTTACTTAATTATCTGAAAGAAAACAACTATTATTTCATTATCATCTATATTTGACATGATTTATTAATTCAGTGAAATATTATAATATTATATAAAGTTAAATACAAATATTAAACAAGCATTGATTTATTTAAGTCATATGTCTGAGTTTTTTTTT